TCGAGCGAGGAGTAGTAGGGGAAGTAGACACACGAGCGCCGCGAGCATCCCATAAGGGGGAAAGCCAGATGGTGCTGCGGTTGTGCGAAGGGGAGGGAGGAGCAAGGCACCCGAAAAAGTTGAGACCGCGGCAAAGGGCTATGGTCTCGTGGTCGTAGTGATCGGAATTTGGGCGGGTGCATCCGTAGAGTGAGGGAAGGTTTGGCCCGTGGCGGCCGTCGCGCTAGGAGCATGGACAGTCACCAGGATGGACGGGTCGGGGGCAGCGGAGGATGAACCTCCACCGTGGCCATCATGTCGGAGGACGGGGGACCCGGACATGAGAAGAGAGAGAGTTGGGAGAGGACGGACAGACAACGTCCTGGAATTGCCGCATGCTAGCGGTAAGAGTCGCCATCTGTGCCTCTAAGGGCGCAAGGTTCGCCCGTTGCGCCTGGATGCGCGCGAGGAGGGAGATGAGAAGGGGGGGGGGAAACCCTTTGGGGCAGATGGCCCTGGTCCGCCTGCACGGTTATGAAGCCCCGTGCCGAGGTCGGCGTCGCATCAGCGGCTTGTGACACGTCGTCGACCATGGGGAGGTGACGGGCCGGACTGGAGGGGGCTAGAGGAAGGCCGCGTGAGCGGAGGGCGTAGGGGGGGGTCAGCGGTAAAAAGAGACGAGCGGCGCTAGCGAGTCCAGCGCGGGCGCTGTCAAAGAGGGAAGGATGGTTCGGGTCCAGGGTGCCCGAATGGGAAGGGGAAGTTGGGAGAAGGGGTAATTGGGGAGTAGGCGGGTTAGGAAAACCCTAAACCTTAGAAAAAACCTAAGAAAACCCTAACCGGAGTTTTAGTGGTTAGGGTAGGGTATCGATAACCTAACCAAGAAAAGAAAATAACAACCATGGAGGGGAGGGGGAGAGAAAAATAAATAAACAATAAAATTTCAAGAGAAAAATAAAATAAAATATATAATAAAAATAATTAATGAAATAAATAAGCAAAATGTGAAGAGAGAAATAATTATTTATGTTTTTGGAATTTTCGGCAGCATTTCCTTACTCCCCATGGGGTAAAGAATGTGCCAAGAGGAAGGAGAGATTAAGATAAGCACACAAAGGTTCAAAATGCCGCAAATTATAAATTTCAAAAAAAAAATAAAAAAAAAATAAGTAAATAAATAAATGACAAGGTGGAGAGTGAAGAGAGATTAAGTGTTGAATTTTTTAAAACTTTCGGCAATATTTCGTTACCCCCATGGGGTGGAGGTGTGCCGGCAAGGATATGACAAAGTAAGATGTAGAGAGTGGGGAGAAAAAATAAAATTTCGGCAACACTTCGTTATCCCCACGGGGTTAAAATGTGCGCCGATAGCGAAAATAACAAAGTCCTACTAGATCTAGAGATGTCGCAGAAAAAAAAAATAAAAAAAATCGAGATTTCAAAATAATAAAAATAAAAAGAAAATAAATAAAAAAATGAGAAAGGAAGTAGAAGATGAAGATGAGCAAGTCAAACAAGGTCTGACTTAATTGCGATGGACACATAACCACACGTGTGTTGTCATGCACTAGTGGGGAGTGATGATACCAAACTCTTGGTTGGCCAAGAGCAACAAGATCACCGAGATTCACTCGATCTTGGCCTTCAAGATGTTGGCAGCCTGTTGCTGCAGCAGAAATGATGTTGGATTAATCAAGGGTTGACAGAGATTTTGATCAACCACCCTGGTTGCCTGACGCGCTGACCCCTAGGCAGGGGGCCAGGGGGGTCTTCACCGCTGAACATGTTATTCGTTAAAATAGGACACTATACTGTGTCCTCTTTCTGACGAATTCATTTTTGGCTGCATTCCAAGCAACGTAGGCACGCCCATCCACGGCTTAAGCACATGCAGAAGTGTGCTGAGATCCGTACTTGTGAAACTTTATAAATGATATCCGAAATAAGGAAGCGTGTTTTAACCCGTACATGTTAGGCACGCCGCACGGTAACCTTGTGTGGAAGTGTGTCGGGATCGTTACTTGCTGAACTTCAAAAACATGGCACTGTTGGGAATCCTGTGCAGAAGTGTGCTGGGATCTGTACTTGTTAAACTTCATAAACGAATAACGATAGGCACGCCCATCAGGGAACCCTGTGCGGAAGTGTGCTGGGAGCCTTACTTGTTGAACTTCAGAAATGTGCCGTGAATCTTGTGCCGAAGTGTGTCGGGATCTGCACTTGTTAAACTTCATAAACGAATAACGACAGGCACGCGCATCAGGGAACCCTGTGCGGAAGTGTGTTGGGATCCGTATTTGTTAAACTTCAATTCCATAATTGTGACGAGCAATGTGTCATGATTGCATCCTCGTTGGATAATTATATTAGAAGACGTAGAATAGCGACAGGCACGCCCATCCGGGATACCTGTGTAATAGTGTGGCTCCCAATGTTTCATGATTACATCCTCGTTGGATAATTATATTAAAAGACGTAGAGTAGCGACAGGCACACCCATCCGTAATGCCTGTGCGATAGTGTGTCGGGAACCACACTTGTCAAACTTCAAGTTTGTGAATGTGATGAGCCAGTTGTCATGATTGAATCCTTGTTGGTTAATACTATTTATTTCTTTTATGCGTGAGTTGTACATGCATGGCTATCATCTCGTCCGAGGCGGTTGTCTGGATGTTGTAGAGATTCAGACTTCTTTAAAAGTACAAACAGTAACTGTTATTTTTGACATACAATTTATTTTTCCCGGTCAATAATGCAAAATTGTTGGTCACATGTAATTCAGGCGGTCACAAGTACATGATTGTCTATGCACACAAGACACGTGATGTCACTGGTCTTTCACTCTTTGCATAACGAACCTCACACCCACACACTCACCGAGATTTGTCTTGCGTCCACACTCCAATTCGTCATGTCGCACCACACACACGAATATCATTTCGAGGTGAATTATATGCACAACCTTGGATGACCTGGACACAATTTGCAACGAGATGAATGTAATGACACGACAGACGAGCAGGTCAATGTAATGACACGACCGACGAGCCGGACCTGATAGAGATTCCAAAGGCAATACGCGACACCAAACTGGCAGTCAACATACCAAAGACAACTCAAACCCGCAACACTGAAAGAAAGTAATGTGGTTGTGAAAGCGACAGTTAAAATATGAAATATTCTGAAACAGAAGTTTGCAAATCAATCGAATCCATCAAAGACAACGACATTCCAAGACACATGATGTCAGTTGTCGTCTAAAATACAGAATATTTTTACAAGAGAACCTGAAAGGCGGTTGATTGCCACGTTGCAACAGTGTCGCAAACATCAACATAAACACCCCGCAACTAACTTTATCCACTTGTCTTGGAACTCCCACTATAACAACATCTGCTGCCACCGACTTCCAGCGCCTGCACGAGCGCCTATGTGATGTTTGACATTCCAAATAGTGTACGATCTACTCGAAAACACTAAGGTAAAAACTAGAATTGACTACAACGCAAGGAAAAGAATCAAAAAATCTCAAGAACATTATCTCTCAAGCTCACGGAAAGGAGGATCCTGTGATCATTATCTTTGAGGACTGGAACAAATATAATATCATATTCAAGCAGATCCACGTTTTTAGCCCATCTTTCCACCCCGCCGTGCCCTTGAAGTTGCATTTTACTGAAGAAGAAAGAATTAAAGGCGAAGACTCGAAGGCCAGGCGGGATGTCACTTGTCCCATATGTGGTCGTTCCTAATAGCGCCATGTAGAAGTTGACCACCTCATTATTCACCCTGTCGTCGGTAAGTGAGAGGGTGAGAATATCCTTCACTGCAATTCGCAACTGACCATTGTGGAGGGTCGAGAGTACTGTGTCAGGTGGCACCAAGCCTCGTTCAATGTCGTCCAAAACCTGCAAGCTTCCAATCGCAGTCACTGCTGTTCCAGGTGTCGTGGCCCGCACTGCACAACATCGAGCGAAGGACAGGGGGGAAAGTGAGAAACAGAACACTAAGGATTCTCCTTCATCGCATAACGAGTAGCTAAGAATTTCTCATACATGGCCTGACCCCTAGTCACAGATCGTGGATATGTGCCTTTCTCTGGGGGCAGAAGGGAAAGACACTCCTTAATGGCAATGGCATGCTCCTTCTTCCCGATTTCGACATCAACCTCTGACGCCTTTAACATGTCTTTGTGTTTTGTCGTCAACCCCAAGACTGTATGCAATATGTATGCCGGATATTTAGAGGGCCTCCGTGTTCAAGACGACCCTACCCCTGTACACCTGAAGAAAGACAAAACGGAAAGTGAATACATGTTTCCGAAGAAGAACTCGACGAAACGACAATTAAAGGACCACGAAATCTAAAAGACGCAGGACCCATGCAATTACAAAACCCCGTCATGCCATGAGAGTGCGAGAGAGAGAACTTCCGCACGAGCCACGTTGCAAAACAAAACGAGCAGTGCACTCGAGCTCGACACCCCCGCCCTTCAGAAGGGAAAAGCACATCAAGTCACAGAAGGGGAAGGCAAACATCTCTGAAGTCCGGATCCCAGCGGACTTTTCCAAAACAGGGAGATGACCCAACCCCTGTGTAACCGAAGGAAGAGAAAACGAAAAATGAACTCACGTAATCCAAGACGAACCCGAAGAAAACGACAACTCAAGAACCACGAAATGTAGAAGACACAGGACCTATCTATTTACAGAGCCCCGTTAAGCCATGAGAAAAATAGAGAATACTTCCGTGCAGGTCCCGCTGGAAAACAAAAGGAGCAGTGCCTTCGACCTCGACACCCCCGCCCTTCAGAAGGGAACCTCAACAAGCCACAAACCCGGAGGCCAAACATTTCCGAAGTCAGGATCCCGGCGGACTTTTCCCAATCGAGGCACCAGAAGAGTAACCGCGTTACGCAGCGGCCTTGGCAGTGCGGATCCTGGCGGACTAAAACCACCACTCATTCCGAAAGAGAAACACCATCCTTCCATTATGTGAGGGAATGCTTCAACAAAAACACACATGTTTTTGCCTCGTGCGCATTGACAGACACTGCGGTCAATGGCGCGCAGACAGAGTGGCGTTTGTCACTGCTTACCAGCTGGTTTGTCTCTCCGCTCCTTAATCGGCGAAGTTGGCGCGGGCAAGGCCAGCACGTCGAGAGCTCGAGTGTCGGCAGTAGTTTTTTTCGGGAATGTGACATCTTGTCGTCCCCTAATCCCACCTTCTCCTCCGCCGGCGATGGTCGGCGGCAGCATCGGAGAGCTCGTTGGCGAGAAATCGACGACAGATCCCCCGGAAGGTTTGACGTCGAGAGGGTCGTCGACACTAGGCGTCGAGGACGGCTGCGCGGACATGTGGTGGTCGCCCAGGATGCCGTCGATAACTTCTTCGATGTCAATACGCACACTCGGCTTAGTGAGGCTGACTACTACACGAGCTTCGTTGAACCGGTGTTGGAGATCGACCACAGACGTCATTGCTTGGACCTCATAGTCATCACGTTCTGCCGAAAGGCTTGTGACCACCTGTGTCTCCATACCCAGTGCCATGTCATCGTCGTCCTCGTCTTCCTCGCGGTGTTCTCCGTACAACTGCCCGAATCCATCAGAAGACTCCCCAAACCTGTCATCGTCGTCGTCGAAAGTTCGTTCGTCGTCTCCTGTATCGAGTTCACCTTTTTCCCCCTCCTGCCCTCCGAGCAACCCAGCCAACTCCGTTTCTTCCCCTTTCTCTCCTTCATCCTCTTCTTCCTCCCCTTCCTCCCCTCCTTCCTCCAATTCCTCCCCTGTGTCTCCTTCCTCCACTTCTCTTTGTCCATCACCCTGCCTTCTTCCCTTGCATGCAATGCAGCCACTTCGCCCGAACCCGTGTCGATTTTCGATGAATGCGCTTTCCGCCCGCCGCACGCAGCCCCTCCCGCCTGCACCAATATCCCTGGTTGGCCCCCCTTGCCTGAAGATGTTCGGATCCCGGCGAACTTCGCCGACTCCCTGTCGCTGGGCCCTCCACACGCCTTGCCTGAAGAAGTTCGGATCCCGGCGAACTTCGCTGTCTCCCTGTCGCCGGGCCCTCCGCACTCCTTGCCTGGATCCCGGCGAACTTCGCCGTCTCCCTTTCACCGGGCCCTCCACACGCACCCTCTTGCTCCGACCGAAGCGGTTGGCGATCCCCCGCAGGCGGCGAAGTCCCGTCCCTCACCGCACCGCTGTCTATTTTGGGATGACGACTCGCCACCCCCGGTCCTGACCAGCTCTGCGCGTCCGTCCTCTCTGTCCACTCTGCTAGCATTGAAGTTTGGATCCCGGCGGACTTGAAAGTTTCGACCGAGCCGGCACGGAGAGCAACCAAGGCCGCCATCACCGAGCTGGCGGATGAACAAGGCACGTCCTCGGACTGTGCCGAGCATTCCGGACCGGGACCGGTAGACTGCTGACGCCCGAGAATGCAAGCTCTGGCCTCCACCCCGCCGCTGCCTTCCGCTGTCGTGGTGTCGCCCTCTTGTTGTCGCCCTCGTTCTCCCCACCGTCCGGTCCCTGGGACCCTGTACTTACATGCGTCCCATTGGGAGGGGGGATTTTCCAGTCCACCCTTCCTTTCGAGGGGCTCGTGTCGAGGTGGTAGTAGTCCTCCGTCAGCTCCAACCAGCCCTTGTCCTGAGGTTCAACGAACAATCGCCCGGCTATGGAAATGACTGATACGTCTTCGGGTGCGAAAGAGCCATTCTCGACCCTCACTTTCTAGAGGACCGCAATTCTAGCGACGTCAAGGAAGTCATACTTCGACCCGCGAGGGAGTGGCATCCATCCTCCGTCCGGGACAGCAACCGCCATGATCCACTCACCCTTTTGGATCGCCGGCTGGATGACTCCTGGATGCCAAATCATGTCATGGCCCCAGTCCGCCTCCGTGGAACGACTTTGAGGCTCACGCAGGAAGTGAATATTGGCATTCGTCCAAGACAGATGATCGGGCGGGATGTCAGACCTGGGACGCAGTGAGCGATGGCCGGAGGCCAGAGCTTGCATTCTCTGCAGCAACTTCATCGGGGTAGTGCCAGGCGCCGGTTTCGCCATCGGTGACACGAGGGACGTTGGGCTTGTCGATGGACCTGCCAAGGATTACCCTGTAGCGTGCTGCGCAGAATGTTGGTCGTACTGCAGGTCGAGGCTTTCAGTGTTGCTGCCCTCCTCGTCCGCGGTCGCGTTGAACTCGATGCCGGTGGTCTCCTCGTTTTCCGTGGAGATCAAGGAGGAGTAACTGCCGAACGTCAGCTCCTCCTCTGACTCCACGAAGTAAAGGGACCGCAACCGCTCGAGGAAGGTCTTCGCGTTCATGCGGGGGGCGCCGTAGTAGTTGTCGAGCAACGTGAACATGTGGTCCTTGCGGCGCACGTACTCGGCATCGGTGTCTCTCTTCGGCCGCATTTGCAGGAACAAGAAGTCGTATATCTTGTTTCGCTTCCTCGCACTCAACTTGAACCACATGTCCGTCTTGTTGTTCCACGCGCGAGCCCGAGTCTCGGTGACGACCATGAACTCGTAATTGTGGGCACCCGAATTGACCTCGCTCTTGACGAGATCAATTGTAAATTGCAAGAGCTCGGAGTTCCCTTCCATCGTGATGACGTGTCGTCCTGCCTTCAGTACTTCCCAGACTGACCGCGCGTGTGGCTTCCAGAGGAAGATGACACCCTCCTCCTTCTTGGTGATGGATTCGAGAAGCTGAACGAATTGGGCGGGGTTGCGTTCCATGTCCCCGTACACAATGCCCCGACGTGCAGGCAAGGTATGCGACCAATCACAAGCGTTGAACGGGATGTCGGACGCATCCATTTGCGTTACCTTCTATGGTACCCAAACTGCAGCAGCGGCGCCTGCCGACAGTTTCCCCTCGTAGACGACGGACGTGTTGGCCCGCAAATCATCGCCTTTGAAGAGTATGTACATCTGGTCGTCTTCCGTGTACAAATTGTTCCCGATGGGGAAGCTTTTCTTCTGTTGACTCCTCCTCACCCACTTCCCTTTCAGCAGCTTGACGAAAGAAAGATGGTTCATGCTGGCCAGAAAGGAGAGGTTCTGCTGCCGCGGGACAAAAACAACGAGCGTCCAATGCGACGGACACCACATCCGGAGTTGGGAATTCAGAGTGTCGAACGCTTGCGGTTTCCAAAGCTTCAGGTCGACCGGTTCACACAGATCGAGGACGAACGTGTGACTCTTTGTGGCAACCATTGCCTCCTTCACCTCCGCACTCCTTATGTCTGCCTCCAAGGGGTCGTTGCCGAATGGCGCGATGGATGTCACGTCACACGTGTCATTCCATTTTATGTGCACAATGCCTTTGGCGAGCGCGATCTCTCGACTCTTCAGTCTACTGCCAAACAACACGGACAGGACCTGATTCCTCCAGTCAACGGACAACTTCTTGTGACCGGCCAGCTTCTCCGTCGCCTCGATCGATCTGTCGTCGGTGCAGCCCATGTAGGGCGGGCAGTCCTTGAACAGCGAGGAGTCAGTGACGTATTTCGTGCCCCCGTCCCACAACTCAGCATCCAAACCACGACTCTCAAACTGTATGAAAATTGCGGACCTTGATTTCAGGAACGGGAACCTCTGGCTCCAATCCTCGTCCGGCCTTTTGTCGTGCTTGAACTGGTAGTAGTTCCACAGACCCACCAGCACCCGGTCGCACTTCACCAAATTCACCACCTCCTGGACGCTCAGCTTTCTGAGCTTCGCCAACGCTGGGGAGCCGGCTTGTACCCAAACCACCTCGCAAGCGAGCACCTTCTTTAGGACGCGACACTTCTTGTTGTCTGTCAGCGACTCCATCGTTTTCCAACAATGCGCATCCGGCTCTGGCACTTGCACGAACCACTCGCCCTCCTCTTTCTTCTTTTTGCCTTTCTTTGTCGGCGAGTCCGCAGGGACGTTGTACACGATATCCTTCCTGTCCAGCTTGTCATTATGGATGTATGCAACCCCAGGCTTCACGTTTTTGACTTTCTTCTTCTGCATGATCCACTTTGCAGTGTCGTGTCCGAGCAATCTGCCTGTCTCCCATTTCTCGAAAAACTCGACGGCCAGTTTCCAAACGTTCTCCCCTGCCATTGCCAACGGGAAATAGGAACGCAGGGCAGCGCCTTGTTTCCTGATGGCCTCCTCGCCCTGCTGATCTGCGAGAATACACAAGTTGTTGTGCGGTGTCATATTGAGTGCCACATTACAGAATTCACGGCACTTCCGGACTTGATCTTGTTTTCCGATGGGGTTCCCCATAACAGCACGCGGGCAACCGGCGCGCTTCCACTGCCACCTAATGTCCCTTATTGACAGCGTCAGCTGTCGTGGGGGCGCCTTCAGGTCCTTCTTGTTGTCCTGGGAACTGACAAGAAGTCGTCGTCCGAAAAGTAGACCATTCGTGCAGGCCACCGCTCGAAATTGTATTTCTTGGTCACCTCGTTGCCGAGCAGCGACCTCGCTGCAGTCGCGTTGTGCTGCCCACACACCGCGTAGTAGTAGTATTATCCCACCAGCTCATCCCTCCAATCCTCCGGCCTCAAACGTTCTGCCTTGGTCCCTGGAGTCGGTTTATCAAGCCCCAGCGGCGCCAGTTTCAGGGTTGGGAAATCGTAAGACTTCGCTTTGTTTTCGAATGCCAACCGCATCGCTTCTTTGATCCCTTCCATGAGCACGGGATCCAGGGACCGTTGGTTGTACAAGTCCTCCCAGTCCCCGAGGTCGACGACCTGCGCAGGGCTAATGTCGAACTCCCGTTTTGTCCGAACGTCGTCTTTGTACTCGAGGAAGTACCCGGCGTCGACGTCGATGGGAGTCCTTGTTGTTGGTGGAGAAGACGGTCCAGACTCAGGCTGCTTCTGTCTCGAAGACGGTCGTTTGGCAACCTGTCGGCCCTGCTCCCCGTCGGTCCCCTTGCGTTTCTCCCCCGCAGTCCTAGGGGCTTTGCTCTTTAACTTCTTCGTAGAACCGGCGAACTCGTCTGGACGATCCCCCCTCCTCTTTTGCGGAGCTCCTTGCGATCCCAGGCCTCCCGCCTCCACCTCCTCCACACCCTGTCCCTCGCTCGCCTCCAAGTCAACCTCCGAATAGGCCGCCACCTGTACTGTAGGCCCCGTACTCTTCCGCTGAACCGGAGCATCAGTCTGAACCCCAGGAATAGACAACACAGACCGCAGCGTGTCACTCAACGGCGGAGCAGTCCCCTCATCCTCACTGTCGTCGAACTGACCTCGGCTCTCGCCACGGTGCAGTTGAGTGGCGGGACCAGAACCTAGATCACCGCCCTTCCCCGCTGCCCCGCTTGACTCGCAACCGCTGCACAGCTTCAACAGCAACGACAACTCCAGGGATGGGTTGACGTCGCAAGGGACGTCTAGAGCGATGTTTTTGTCCTCCAACATGTCGAAAAATTCACGCGCCAAAACAAAACCGCCCTCGAGAACGAGTACTCTGTAGAACGGGGTGTTCACAGCACCTGCTCCGAACCCCTCATACAATTCGAGGTCCAAGAACATCCCTTTCGAATTGGCAATGACGTTGCCCTTGGCACCATAAACTTTCTGCATATAGAAATATCGCCGGCCCCCCTTTGCGTCCTCCTACCGCAAGACGGCACCAAACACTACGCCTTCTGTTGTCATCGATGAAGATGACAGGACCACATGGCTGCGCAGTGGGGTTGGAAGCGTCTCCACAGCACCAGTCGATGAACCATTTCGACCTCGAATGGTTCGACCACCCATGCGTGGCAGTAGACGACCGCCTCGTGGAATCTTTTCGTGATTCCTTTCCGGAGGTCCCTGTTGGCTCCACCTCGCCCTTGGTAGAAGACATACTGTCAGCGAACGTCAACGCAAATCGAACAGCACACCATGAAGTCAAGGTGTGTCAAAACACAGGAGAAAAAGAACACTCGCTGCCGCATGTCAACGCAGGCTGTAGCGCAGCGAAAGCCGCACACAAAGACACCCGGGCACCCAAATCCGGAACGGTGAGAAGGGGTAGTCCACCGGGATCCGAACTTCAAGTGGGCAAGAGACCGAGAGGTAGACAGAGAGAGAGAAGCAAGTGAAAACTCGCAGTGCGCATGGGATCACGCGCTGTTTATGCGGCACACGGGGCACCCCGAAGAACAAAGACAGACAAACGTACAGTGAAAATCGCGAAGTCCGTCGGGATCTGAACTAAAGGACGGTGCGTGAGACAGAGACGGCGGAAGTAGATTTCAGGAATTTTTCGCAGGAATCAACTGGCGATCATGTTCGAAGCTCGCGCTCGACGGGGTAGTGTTTCCCGCGTGGCACTCGGAACCCCCGACAGTCCAACAGCCGAAGCTCGCTGGGACCCAAACTAGAACAGAGAGGCAGCCATGCAGCCAGCGTCCCAGAACCGTGCTCGACCAAACGCACTACGGAACCGTTGCCGGGCGGGTTGTGCAACCCACCCGGAACCACGAAGACTCACGACAAAGCAACGCACCTCTCGAAACGTGAAGTTCGCCGGGATCTGAACTTCAGGACGATGTGACAGGCAGAAACGGCATCTGAGACACACGATCCACAAGTCTAAGGTTGTTTAACTCAAACCCGACCCAGGAAAGCCACACCGGAATGAGAGGCTGGTTGAAATGGAGAAGTCCACCCTAATCCGAACTACTTCTGATTTCCGATCTCGGGTTATGCACAGCTTGGCACTGGATGAACCCAAGCTCGAAAGCGACAGCCGTGTCAACATTTCGTAGGTCCTTCGACTCTGGCTGTTGCCGGAATCCACGAGGGATCCGGAAGACCACCGTTTGTGGCAATAGACAGGCGACTCCTGAAGTTCACCGGGATCCGAACTTCAGGAGGACGCAAGAAAGAGAGACAGAGAGAAACATTGGAGCAACTCCGAGTCCAAACGCAAGACGGTGTTCGACCAAGGCGCACGAGGAAAAAACCCGGGGTTCCACAGCCGACCGCAGGTTTTGATGGCAGCAGTCATTGAGTCCAGGCGTAATTGGTAGCAGGACCGTTTCCGACTCCGCTCAGCACTCGAAGCTTGGAGGCCGGTAGGACGCACAGGCCAAACCGCGAAGTTCGCCGGGATCTGAACTTCAAGAGGGCGCGACACGGAAAGAGACGGCGTGCACTAGCAACTGCTGCCTCCCGCGCCTTTCTCCACTACGAAAACTCTGCTATGTTCGGCAGCACACAAGCCTCTCACTCGTCTCCCTTCTTTTCGCTTAAGCAGGATGTCCAACCACACGTCCAAATCTTGTGACAATCGCGGTTCCCCGGGGACGAGGTCGTGAACCGTAGTCATACAAAGCATTCATTGACGATCCGTAAAAGCGGACCAGCGGATCGTCGACCGTTGCAGTTTCTGAAAAGACAGACATGTATTTCATCATAACAAACACTCCCGGTCGTGTTAACGAGTTCCCTATACAGTCCTGTATGGCGGACACTTTCTCCTTGACCTCCCTATGCAACGAAAAGTTTTGGACCGGCCCTGCTATAACCAAATCTCGCCACCCATCTACACGTTCATGCCCGCGCGTCGGCACGAATTTTGACCCCTCAATCACCACCTCGTTGCGTGATACAAGCACAATTTCATCGACGAGTTTCCTGCTCTTGTTCGACGCAGCGACACATAGATTTCTGGTGAAATCAGACCCGGACACAGTCAATCGCACACAACAGTATGACACAACTTGTGGAGAATTCCCGGGGCACCGGAGCGGGTACTGGCCCAGGAACGAGCAATGACGAGCGCAGTCCAGCAACTCTTATTTCCGCGAGCCAACAAGTTCGTGGCGACGACCTAACATAGTGGCATTCGAGGCGGCTGAAATGGCGGCTAATGCAGCCCAGTGCCCTGTGCATGTGGTTCAGGAACTTGTGTCCGAGGACAGCGTCAGACAGCGGGATGAGGTTCCCGAACTCCAACATGTTGGCGAATTTGCGCTGGCTTGCCCAAGGGCAGCGACTCTCCATCGTGGCCCAATTCCCATCGCACCAATCGTCAATATGCGCGTCCCTGCATGGGACGATGGTCATCCAGGTGTCCTCGTCGAAGTCCTCTGCGGTCGCTCCGTGGATCGTAGTCACACCGCTGAAATGCTGCACTGATCTCGCGCAAGGAGGAAACGGTTCTGCCAAGCGAATGTGCGTTTCGGGACTCATGGTTTGTGGTGTCGAGAAGAACGACTCAAAGATTCGTGGTGTCGAGAAGGTCCCATCCATAACGCGCCCTACACACCACGCGCACATACCAAACGACACACACGGGAACGCTGACACTCGTAAACATAGTTGGCGGGCAATCAAAAGACATAGGTTCCTCGCTGTGGTTGCGCACTGGGGTTGGAACGCGAGTTGGGTTTTACGAAAGGCAAAAACCTGAAGTTCGTTGGGATCCGAACTTGGCGAAATGTCGTGGGAGAGATACAGTTGTCTATCAAACTCGCCTTTCCATTCTTTGTTGAAGTTCGGATCCCGACGGACTTCACATTTTCGCAGGTCCACTGCTCCGTGGGAGAGAAGCAGTTGTCTGGTCAACTCGCCTTTCCATTCTTTCTTGAAGTTCGGATCCCGGCATACTTCACATTTTCACAGGTCCACTACTGTTGTTGTGCACTGGGGTTGCAACTTGAGTTGGGTTTTACGAAAGGCAAGATCCTGAAGTTCGACGGAATCCGTACTTGGCGAAACGCCGTAGGAGAGAAACAGTTGTCTGTCAAACTCGCCTTTCCATTCTTTCTTGAAGTTCAGATTCCGGCGGACTTCACATTTTTCACAGGTCCACTTCTGTGGTTGTGCACTAGTGTGGCAACTCGAGTTGGGTTTTATGAAAGGCAAGAACCTGAAGTTCGCCGGGATCCGTACTTGGTGAAATGCAGTGGGAGAGAAACAGCTGTCTATCAAACTTGCCTTTCCCTTCTTTCTTGAAGTTCGGATTCCAGCGGACTTCACATTTTCACAGGTCCACCACTGTGGTTGCCCGCTGGGGTTGCACCGCGTGTCGGGTCTTGCGGAAGGCGTGAACCGGAGGTCCACCGGGATCCGAGCTTGGCGAGATTATGTGGGAGAGACACAAATGTCTATCAAACTCGCCTTCCCGTGCTTTCTTGAAGTTCGAATCCCGTCGGACTTTACATTTTCACGGGTCCCCCGCTGTCGTGTGGTGGCTGCAAAACGTACGTCGTTGGATGACCGACAAGGTTCGATGACCAACGAGGTTTGTCGTCCAGTGGTGTTCGATGTCCGCCAACATTTCGATGCCCGCCGAGGTTTGATGGGGCGCCAGGTTCGATGCCAAACAAGGTTCGATGGCCGACAAGGTTTGATGGCCAGCAACGATCGATGTGCAACAACATTGTCATGAAATGTTTTTTGTCCATTCCCAAACAGGGATCGACCTTTTTCACGGGTTTCTACCGTGTGGTGGACCAATTGCCTTGCATGCTGCGTACGACCAATGGACGAGGAGGCAGGTCGAATGCAGTGCAATCGGGGCGAGAAAAGTGAACCGCTCGGCTGGCATGTCTGTGCCCTGGTCGGCGAGTGGCGAATCAATCAGCTAGTTGGCCAACCACAAACTGAAAAGTCGATCAATCAACTAATCAGTTACTCGTGCCAACGCTCTCCTGTCAACCAGTTTGCTGGATCGGTCGTACGCCTGCCGGTTGGGCGATCGCGCAGAGGGTGATGCCACGGTTGCAACGCAAACACACGTTCGGCTGTATGGTTGGTGGACTGTTGGATCAACCGGTCGTCCGACCGCAGTCCGAACAGTCGTTCTGTGATGTTGGTAGTGGTGGATCTATTGACCAGTCTACTGTTCGGTCGGGGTACATCAACGAGTGTGATCGATCAGTCGCTCGCGGCCCGGTTGGTCGTTCGCGCACGGTGCCACGTGTGTTTTGTTTTTACATTTGATAGTGGCGAAAAACACACACGGGGTGACCACGTTGAGACAGCACACGCGATCAATCGACCGATCGTGAGCTCTCTGTTCGTTTTCGGCGATTGGTCGACTGGGTGCGTCTACTGTCCCGACCATGCCCCCTTTTTGCTTTGTTTGATCATCCATCGGCAGATCAGCGGCGGTATCGTGATCAATCGTGGTGGTCCTGTTCATCACTCACATGCGGTATGGCCGATGTCACCACTCACGTGTGGATGATTGATCAGATGAGTAGAGAAAGATCCGATCTGTCGCGTGGTTATTATGTTTCATGATCGGTCGCCTCGCGCTCGATGAACTGATGAATGTCGATAGCTCCGATCGAACGCGCTATGGCCAGTCACGAAACATAATCACCCCGCGCTCGATCGGATGTTTCTCCATTCATTAGTTTCATACACAACAAGATCCCATGAGATCCACACAAATCAATAGCCAAAAAAGAACCAGTTAAATCATTTTGATAGGGATGTCGACGCGCGACGTCGAAGATGACGCGGGCGGCGACTAGGGAGGTGGAGGGAGATGCGTCGTAGAAAAGGTAGCGACCAGGGTTTAGAACAGTTGTCCGTTCGCTTCGCTACCTATGGTGCTCCAGCTGTGCGGGGCAATGGTGTTGACAATA